CATTTTGTTTTCAAAGAATTGCACCTTGCTCATCCTAGGCAACTCGAAGTCGCTGTCTCCGTAATTTTGGCGCACCCTGTATTATTTATTGGAGTACCGGTTATGTGCTCCATGTTGTAGCTCACGCAGAAACTTGGCTCTGCGCCCGACGGCGCGATGAATTATCATCTCTGAGGCCTGCATTGCATACACGCTCTCGTCGCGCCACCATATTGTACTTTCGACTGGAATCCTCTGCTGTACCATCGTTAGCGCTATATCCGTTGCTTACCATATATATTGTTTGAGATCATCGCTGATGCTCGTGCTCTCAGTCTTCATGGAATCAATCAGGAAGGTTCTTCCAGTGGGCAGTTCATGAAGTTGTGGAAAAGCGTACGTTTTCTTACTTTACTTACGTCTCTGTTTGTTGGGAACTTATCTAAAGTCAAGTTTGTAGTACGTTACCTATATCTAGGACTCTAAGGAGAAAACCAAAAAAGGTGGTCGAGGCGAATCTGAAGATGAGGATGATGACACCATAGAAGAGGAACAGCCAGGCGATGAGGTTGTTGAATCAGAGCCGGCATGGCTTCGATTAGTAAACGGTAATAACGCTGACGAAAAACAGCTCCGGCAAAGCAAGAGTAGTGTGGTACTCGCACCCGAATTGCAAGGTTTGTCACATCATTAGCCCTTTCTTGTTGCATAGCACTCATCTGTTTGATCTATGCAGGGCGCCATGTTTTGGCTACTGGATTACAATTTGCGAAAGGAAATCTACGGATTGGGTCGCATAAGTCCGTCGCCTGAGACACGATCTTTCTATGAGAAATTACGTGAACTCGGGCTGTTACAAGTTTGACGAAGAGGTAAATTGTTGTTTGTTTGTTACGGCTGTTCCCTCATTCCTCATCCTCATTTTACGCCAGGACTGGTCCAAATATAAACCAACTCTGTTGACTAATTTGAATATTCCAACTGCGCAACCCGCAAGCGAGAGGCGTCCGACGTTGTTCACTGTGGATGATATTTTCAGGGTGAGAAAAAGGGTAATTTCGTCAGTAGGTTCCATTATTATGTATACTTAACATGTGCGTCTCAGACCTGCCCACCGGAGGTGTCAAAATCGTCGTTGAAGTTCTATCAGGAAAGTTTCGTAACGACCGATGACTACTTCTCGAAAAAGACCGCAGCGGCCTTTTCCGAGTATCCTTCGATATTTTGAAATAGGTTTCATTGTGTCAAAAATTTCAACGGTTTCGTGAGTAAGTGCCTGTGATACCAAATGTGATAAGATGTACCTTTGTGTTATATTTGCAAGCTTTAATTTGTTATTTATTTGCATATGTGCATGTACGGAGAGTAGATTGATACTGTTCTGAACCCTTCATCCCAGTGTAAAGGTTCAAACGCAGTGCGGCCCCAGTCAGGTAGAAAACTCGTTAGTCGGACTTGCTAGAATTTTTGAAACCAGATTGGTCCCCCGGCAACCACCGGGACCTCCTTACCTGCGTAAGCTTTACTCCTTCCAATGTGCTCCCATCCACTGGTGACATGGACACCTCGTGGAGGTGGCACGCATGCACAAAAAAGTGTCTTATATAGTAGAAGGCATTACCGTAATCGTGACATGACCTTAGAATGATATTAATTGGACCTCAGGTCTTTTGGCGGTTAGCTCCCCTCGCCCTTCTCCATCTTATCCTATTCCCTCTACTGCTCTCCAGCTGCTATTGCAGCATCATGTGGAATGAATGAGACCATGCTCAGTAGGTGTTTATATAGCCGTTGGGGTGTTATCACATTGATAGCACTGCAAAACATTGAAAACTTGTTTGTCTGGAATAGAATTTGCAGCCTCAAAGTGTTTTCTTATGTATGGGTTGTGTAAATAAACGGGTTCGGTTGTCCTGTATAAGTTTCAATGCTGGCCGATGGGGAAAAGTTTTATTCCCATTACAAATTGACTAACATATACCCACAAAATTGAAATTACTGTGGGAAATGCCTAGTAACTTAGAACTGATTATGGAGAAAACTTGTTGAGCTATGACTTCAAATAGGAAATGTCGAGTTAGATTCGCTATTCCCGTTGGAACGATGAGCCGCCTATAATTTTCAGGTCACTTCCAACTTTATCAGTCAGTCAGGTATATGAGTTTTACCTGAGAATTTTTATCGTCTGGAGCACTGCTAGAAACTGATGAACCAGTTGAAGTTGAGAAACCACTCGATGACTGAACAGCTTTTTTAGATGGTGTATTTCAGGACAGGGAACGATCTTACCTCATTGGTCGGTACTGTTACTCCACTGATTCCACTTGAGCTTTCAGCGGTAGTGTTATGAGGGAAATTTACGCGAAGTTCTGTAGGCGAATCTGTGTGGTGAGTGAACGTTGTGCACGAGCCCTGAAATGTCGTTCATGACTTGAAATAAGCGCAAAGTTTGCTTGCTTTGCATTAGCAATGTGAGTACAGTCAGTAATCGTTTCGAAACTACATCTAAATCAAATAATGTGATGACTCCACTCGAAAGGTAAAGTTAAGGTATATGTTTCTGCGAAAGGAGCCCGCTACTGAAGAACAAAAATGGAAAAGAAACTGCTGAAACATTAGACTTCAAGACATGCCCAGGATCGCATTGGTGTGGCTCTTGCACACGAATGCGAATGTATTGGTGCGAAGTGGGCCGGCAGTAAGAAAAAAGGAAAAGAATCCGTCGAAAACGCTCAGGTTAAGGGCTCACTCACCTTCCTAATCGGCTGTGCTAAGGGAATGAGAGACTAAGCGCGGAGAGGAGAGTATGAGGCGAGAGAGCGCAACAGATGAGAGGGCGCCAGACAACAGCCTGATAAAAGAAAAAATTGCAGCTTGCAGCTTACTTTGCAAGGCCCTAGCGCTCTTGTCGGTTATTTCCGTGCACGGAACGCCACATTGTGATTGTCCTCTAGGGTCTATCCTACAGACCGAATGGAATGATTCACAGGACTTTTGCTTGGGTTGTGCCCCCTCAACGGTCAAGTGAAGGGTTCTTCGGAACATGCATTCTGTTCTGAATCGTTGGTCGGACAATGCCCAAAGTGCTAGAGAGGGTGTTATTTAGGGCTTTTCGACAGCTTTCATTGTGAAGTCGTCG